ACGAAACGACGTGCGCTCGTAGGTTTTTTGACAAGCCCACAGTAAGCGGCGGGGAATGATCAGCCACTACCGCGCTCGACTTGAATGGTCCAAAGCATCGCAAAGTTGCCTTGCAAAGGGCGTGCATGAACAAACCCGGCCGACGGAATCAACTCGTGCAGACTCGACATGTTTGCCAAATTTTGCCAAGCGCACAGGTGTGGAGCTCCTTGAAGGTTCTTCTCGTGTAAACTGGCACCGCGTCGCCTTTTCTGGGCGATCCAGTGCACCTCGCCCATCCCTCAAACTCACCAAGTGCGTGAAGGTTTCCAGGTCCCGCAGGCTGAGGTTTTGTGCCAGAGTGCAGCCTACCAACAAGTGGTCTTCGAGGCCCCGGGCAGCATGCGCAAGGAAGCCACGGTGCTGCTTTGCTGCCTTGCGCAAGCTGTCGCTGCCGCTTGAGGGGCCTGCATGATCCCGCATGCTTCAGTGCTCAACCCCGGAGTGTCTCTACAGTGCCGTGCCTGCCGAACCCCAGACTGCCCTCAACCCTGCAGCATCCCTACACAACCATCAGACTACAGTAGGGACTGGGAAAGTAATATCGCTCATCTGATGTCTTCATGACGTATAAGTGTTGTACAAACACCTGTTCTGGGAGATAGAGGTGAGCTAGGAGTCCCAGAAAGCGCCGCGGTGGACCCGTGATGTTTGTGAAGTTCTCCGTTGCAGTGTGTCCGTCAAGGCGCATGAAGGGCTTGACTGTTTTGTTGTAGGCAGGTTCATTCCGCGTGCTGGCGTCGTACTGGCGTCGTGTACCGATTGCACCATCGTCTGGTTGCAAGCATGCCTTCGAAAATCTTCAGGTAAAGAGAAATGGAAACAGAACGCGTCGGAATACGGGCCCACGTTTTTGGACTTCATAAAAACTATATAGAATGGCTCACGTTGTGAAACAGATCTACATAGTGATGCTGTGACAAGTGGACATGACTTTCAAATTTCATTTTCTTGACGCTGTTTATCTTTTTCAAGTACAAGATCCAAAACTGGGGCAGCCAACTGAGCATGCTGCGAGCTGACAGATCAAAAGCGGTGCTCTGAACAGGTGGATCGAAGTCAACTGAAGGAGGAGCTGAGCATGGCGAAGGCTTTTGCTTTTGGTGCATGTGTTGTTGAGCTAAGTTTCTTGGGATGTCCTGATTTGCCCCAAAATTACTGATCTCTTGCAGGCGTTGCTAATGCTCAACAATGTCTCTCTTTGCATGGACTTGGATGAGGGTGCCGAGGTTACCTTCTTATTGCAGGGGACGCAGAGCTGTTGCAATCACATTCATGCTCAGTGGAGCAGGACTTGAGTGCTGCGGAGGTTGTCCGATTGAAAGGCACGGTTTGCACTTTCTCTTTTTGATGCCCGTGAGTGCAGTACATCCTTACATTCTCAGACTGGTTTCGCACGCACGCCTCTGTTTCTCGATAATCAGACGTTTGCCTGATGTCCCAGGCACGTCAACAATGCTCTGTATTAGATCTAGCTTTATGCATGCCAAGCGGTAAGTAAACCAGATCTTCTGAGGATACAATGCGATACAATCTTACGTGCCGACAGAAGTGGCTTTGAATAAGGCCCGGCGCACCCATTACCAACCCCGGTACATAGGCTATGTAGCCGAGGGTATGACACTTGCTGGCGCTTCAGGTGTATGTAACAGGATGCGGAGCGCGGAACGCGACAACCCTTGTTTTGGCGCGCACACAGACAACGAAATGAGTGCCAACCCAGTGAAAACCAATTGCCTCATTTGGCGAAAAGATATTCGACATTGACGTGACCCACAGCGAGGACCGATAGTGCTAGCCGTTACTGTAGTGTGGCCAACCTTTGCCCAGAAAGATGTGGCAAAATGCGGGGGAGCGGAATGCCGAGGCACATTACAACCTGCCACGGTTGGCCACATCCGGACCAGCTGTGAGCACTTGGTGGCGCTGGGCTGAGTCAACCACCACACAGCCACAGGGGAGGGGAGGGCGGGGGGAGGCAGTGAAAAGGTGGTGAGCAGCACCACCTCACGCGCAACGCTGCGGATGGGCCTGTGGCGTCTTTAACTTTAATAGTTGTCAGCAGACCGGCGTTGTTTGTCCTGAGTCATCAAGGAACGGCCGGCCGGCAGAGTGGGCTTCGACCTCGGTCAGCTCGGCTCTTCGGCATCTATTGCGCAGTCGCGCAGTCTTGAGGAAGAGGATGGAGGAGGAGGCGACCATCCTTCCGCCACTACTCGTGTCATGTAGATTCATGTAGCTTGAGTTGGTAGGCCGAGGGGGGGGGGGGCCGACTGCGCCGAGACCAAGCACCGGCACCGCGGCGCATGAGGGCAGCGAAGCTGGGTTTATTGCAGACAACGGGAGGAGGAAGCAGTCTGTTGTTGGAGCCCTGAGGACTCGGTGGCAAAGTGGACAAAGCGGTTCGGGGGGAGTAGCTCAAAAAACGTCCCGAGCACACCGCACAGACCCATTCAACAGGCCTAATAAATACTGAACATGTGGGATTCTGTGAGAAAGCCTTGTGACAAGACTCCGCCGCCCTGAGCCGCCTGGGATGAGCAGATTACTGTTGTTCCTCCGACTTTCAACTGCAGGATGGAGACTCCAAGAAGGTTGAGGTGGTGGTGGTGGTGGTGGTGGTGGTGGTGGTGGTGGTGGTGGTGGTGGATGATGATGTTGTTGCTGTTCCCTTCCGACTGAAAACCAGGAGTTGCCTGCGGACGAGAGATCGTGATCTTTGAGCAGAGGGCCAGTGTACAGCCATCAACGAAGACAGTGATGGACTGTGGCGATCTGATCCCGGGAGGCTAGAATGACGTAATTACCTGCCAAGTGATATATGTGTCATATTGTGACACTTCTTACCACGCTGTATTTATGTGGTCTCCTTGTTGTTGTTGTTGTTGTGGTGGTGGTGGTGGTGGTGGTGGTGGTGGTGGTGGTGGTGGTCCCATTATTTCAGATTCAGATGAGTTCTGTGGACAGCACTTGCAGACATGTCTGACCTGAGAATTTTCTGTTGTGCAGATTTTGCATGCGTTGACTTATTTTCCAGACCTTTCCGACGCGCAAGACTACGAGCAGAACAGCCCGAACCCGGCAAACATGCGAGACAAGGCTCAGACAACCAGATTTGTCCTTCATATTGTCCGGGGTCCACGTGCAGGCGCCCGCCTCTCTTGGTCGTGTAGCCTTACAGGGGGTGCTGCTAGACCCATACTACGCATCTCTTCGAGACCTGGCGGGCCAGCCTTGTGTTTGCATATGCGGGGTGGTGCACGCCCACCCCCCCCTCCAAAAAAGCCCTTCCTTAAAGCCCCCTCAACCCCCTCCTTAAGCCCTCCTCCAGCCCCTTCAAGGCCTTGTTAAGAAAGGGGGACTTAGCGCGTTTTTGGTTTTTTTTAAAAAAGCGGAGGGTCGAGAGGGGGCGCAGCTCCCCCCGCGGGGGGGGTTGGAGGGGGGCGGCCCCCGCCTTGCTTTGTAAGCTGTGCAGGCCTGCAGGAATTGCTGCAAGACTGCATGAAGTTTGGCGTCTGCCAGTACCCTTATTGGAGCTGTCTTTGTACTATTCTATTTCATTCTGTTTCATCTGTCATTAGAAAAAATGGTATTCCAATTAATATTTTTGAAGCTGCTATAGTATCATTACTTTAAAGTATGATTATTTTGGGCAATCTCGCACATACGACTATAGCTACTATTGCTACTGTATTACAAATATTACGTAATATTCTTCTTCGTCTTATTATTGCCACTATCGCTATCATTCTTATTACTCTTGTTGCTTTGTTTTCATCGCAAGAATTCTGCGTACAACTGTTTCATGTATTGTTTCACTTACTATTATGATTCCTATTACTACTAGGCGTCCTCACATTTTGCCTCAAAAATTGGGCTCATGCGTGGAGAGCCTTCACATTTTTGCCGAAAATGGACCCCGTAGAAATTCCCAAAAGACGAGCTCATAGCAGTACGAATGTAACAGTAAATAGTGAGCACACGTAAACACTAAGTGTAATAAGCAGAGTAGTAGTACACAGTAGTCATGGCAGTGCTGCGATATCACGAGAAGCAGAACGAACAACAATATTAACAGTATGGAATAACAGTAGCCCACGACAAGCAACACGCGGCAAAGAGACATCATATTGCTGCCTTGATCCCCACGACAGACATTTGCATCCGCTGGTTCCGATGTTCGGCCTGTGTGTTTCTGATATTCTTACTTTGGTTCCGACTTCAGCCTCTTCCTCTTCCTGGTTGTGGATGCTCCGGTGACGGCTTGGACATTTGAACGTTTTGGTCTGTTCCCATTCCACGTGCACCATCTCTGAGCAAGAATTCGCCCTTTGTACAGAGCTTGTTGCACATTGCAGGCAACCCACGCCTCATACAGCTTCTCATCACTCTCAAGCAGAAGGCGGATAGAGTGTGGCAACCTCTACTTAGCTGGGGGCGTGCAGTACTGCAATGTATTTACACCTTGGATCAGCCTATATCTCCACGTGCTGCGCTGGGGCTCAAGGCAATCAGCGGTTTCTGTGCTGCGTTGTGACTCTGCCTTGTTGCTACATGAATGTTTTTGGACATGCGGCCCGCGCTGCTGTGGGTGGCAGCATGTCCCCTGTCTGCATCGGGGACTATGCTGAGCGATGCAATATCTTCAGGAGCCAGCGGCATCATGCCTGGTGTTTCATTGAAAGGCAATCTCTTAGAGGGCATGTGGGGCAAATCGTGCGGAAGGAAGAACACCTTCCCTGAAGCGATGTCTAGCTGCTGCGGCGGGAGACATCCATCTCCGAGCTATATCGAGTTCATGTCACGAGGACAATAAGGGCTTTCAGTTCAGCTGCTTGACATTCGCCTACACAACAGCCTGGTGCCTTTGAGAAGGCTACGAAGCAAACAGAAACAGCATCGACATTCATAGTGATTTGACGCACGTCCTGCGCGCTTTTTCTATCTTCATCTTCCTTTGCCTCGTTTGTTCTGGTTTCTGTCCTTTTGCCTGTCAAGAGCATGAACAACCCGCATCATGCTAATGCTATCCGTGTTGTCAAGTGCGCTTAACTCCCTCAGCACAAGCAGGACGTGAAGCAATTCTACTGCCAGCGCGTCAGGGAAGTTGCTTCACGACGAAGCTAGTAGCAGGTAATGATGTATTGTGCAACTTGGGTTGGTACTTCATGCAGCTAATTCTCGTGTGCTCTTGATTTGGCGTCAGATCTGAGGATACACAGAGCCTGTGCAGATTGAGTGCCGGCAGCCGCAAGACGAGGACATCAAATCAACAACCTCCCCTGCTTTTCGTTTGCTTGGCAAGCAGACAAATTCTGTTACGTCGGTGTATGGAATTCTTGCATTTCCGTCAAGTCAGAGGTGGTGGCCGTGTCTTGTCGGCATCGGCAGGATGGATGGCTTTGATGAAAGGTTGTCGTGAGGTTTGAAATGTGTAGGATGGCGCGAGGTATAGGGTAGTAGGATGGCGTGATGCTGGTCTGATGGAAGGTTGTCGCCAGGTCTCGGATAAAGGTCGTCTTGAAGTATCGGATGTATGGATGTTTCGATGGTCCCCTGGTCCCTGGACGGTCGTGATGTATCGGGTCTGGTCTGTCTCCTGATTAAAATGCTCTGGAGCACGGGGTCGGCGGGAGCTGCCGCACCTCGCCAGAATTATGCTGGCACGTGGAGCGCCTGGAATTTCCACGGACTCGACGTACCCTCTCGTGTCAGAGCGCTGGAAGTCGGAGCGTCCAAGGAATTTCGTGCGAAATCGACGACGTGCTCGCGGCGTATCAGAGTGCTGAATCATGGAGATTTCGCTCTCGGTGGCTGCAGCTGGGGCGCTGCAGGGACGTGAAGCGGGAATTTTGCGAACAAGTGACGGACGTTTCAGGGTCCCGTCGTGTAGGGTCGCTGGCGCGTAGAGCGTGCTCGGAATTCTGCGTGCAAGTGACGAATGTTTCTGGCGCGCGGCTTGTCGCGTCGCTGGGGCCTCTGCTTGCGATTTGTGATTTGGGGAGCTCATTTGCAGAGTTTTGGGATGTTTACGACCTCCCATGTGGGGCCCTTATGCATCTCTAGAAGAGATATATAAGGGCCCCCATATACGAGGCCCGAAACCCTTTGTTTTGGATATGTATGTATGTATATGCATGCATGCATGTATGTATGTTTGTATATATTCATACATATGTAATGAAAAATCGACCGAATTTTGAGGACGCTCCGCACAGGAGCGCGGTTTTGAACGAAAGCACGATGAAATTTCGAGGATGCTCCGCACAGGAGCGCGATTTTCTTCAAAATGTTCAGGACGCTCCGCGCGGGAACGCGATTTCGAACGAAAGAACGATGAATTTTTGAGGATGTTCCGCACGGGAGCGCAATTTTTCTTCAAAATTTTCAGGATGCTCCGCACGGGAGCGCGATTTTCGTCCAAATTTTCAGGATGTTCCGCACGGGAGTGCGATTTTCTTCAAAATTTCAGGATGCTCCGCACAGGAGCACAATTTTCGCCCAAATTTTCAGGATGCTCCGCACGGGAGCTCGATTCTTTCTTCAAAACAAGACGACCTTGAGCGGAGCATT